TGCACCTTGTACTATGGAGAAATCATCTCAGCCAAATACAAAATTTCAATCTCAATCAAATATGACAGAAACTGTTAAAAAAAAGCCTAAATCTAAATGTGAATCTTCACAAAAAAAATCAAAGTGGCAGAGCCTCAAAGGGTTCTAATAACAAAATCCAACTTTTTAATAAGTTCGGATCCTTAGAGGACATGGGTGTGTCCGAAAACATCCAAAATAGGGCACATAGCTTGTCGCCCTCAAGAAGAGTGCGGGGTAGATCCCCAATCAACCCACCAAACAGTTAATGTATTCTAACAATATAGTACAGTGGAATTGTAGAGGATTAAGGTCTAATTTTAATGAATTGCAGTTATTAGTCCAGGATCTGGCACCATCGGCATTCTGTCTGCAGGAAACTTATCTGAAACAGACAGATACTTTTAATCTACGTCAGTTCGAAGCATATCATTCTTTCTCACCTCCGGGTGATAGGGCCACTGGCGGGTCTTCAATTCTTGTTAAACAGAATGTAATTCACAGCCCTGTCACACTTACAACTAATCTTCAAGCCGTTGCAGTGAGACTTACTCTTCATGTTGCCTTCACAATATGCTCTCTATATATTTCCCCTTCTTCAACACTCCAACAGTCTGATCTCCAAGCTCTCTATGACCAACTTGTCTTATAATGGGTGATCTTAATGGCCATAACCCGATCTGGGGTGGTACAAGCACTAACTCTAAAGGTAAAATACTTGAAGAATTTATCTCCAATAATGACTTGTGTATATACAATGACGATTCAAGCACTTATCTGCATTCTGCAACCGGCACCTACTCTTCTCTAGATTTGTCTCTTGCAGACTCTAACCTCCTCAATGAATTTGATTGGTCAGTCCACAATGACCTCTGTGGAAGTGACCACTTTCCAACTATCCTATCAGGAATTTATCCATCTGATTCTACATCTTATACAAGATGGCAATTTTCCAAGGCAGACTGGTCCTTATTTCAAACGTTATGCACATCTAAACTAAGACCCGAATATTTCAGTGATTTCACTGATCCTATTGAGGTTTATTCTGACGTTTTAAATGAAATAGCTGATGAATGTATACCAAAGTCCTCTACAACTCCACATGTACGGAAACCATGGTTTAATATTGATTGTAGGCAAGCCAGAAAAGCGAGGAAAAAGGCAGAGAACTATTTCCGCCATCACCCAACTGTCCATAACTTAAATAAATTTAAGATACTCAATGCGAAGGCACGTCGTACCTTCAAACAAAACAAACGGCAATCTTGGAGGAACTATGTCTCCAAAATTCATTCACGTACGCCCATGTCCAGAGTATGGAACATGGTTCAAAGAATTAAAGGCAAAGGTTCAAAGTCTGCTGTTCACCATCTTAAAGATGGTGATAATTTACTTACCGACAAGTCTACAATTGCAAATAAACTTGGCGACACTCTTGCCAAAAATTCTTCATTGGCAAATTATGTCCCTGAGTTTCAGAGATATCAGAAACAACAGGAAAAGACAAAACTTAATTTCGAATCAAATAACGGTGAGGATTATAATGAAGTGTTTTCATTACATGAGCTACATACTGCTCTTGAAGAAGCTCATGACACTGCAGCCGGTGATGATAATATACATTACCAGCTACTGAAACACTTGCCTGAACCATGTCTGATGACACTTTTAGATATATTTGATAAAATATGGACGTCCGGAAATTTTCCTCCCTCATGGCGTAATGCCATTGTAGTACCGATACCAAAACCTGGCAAGGATCATACAGATCCGTCTAATTACAGACCAATATCTCTAACTAGCTGTGTCTGTAAAACCATGGAACGTATGGTGAATAATAGATTAACTTGGTATCTTGAAACCAATAACCTTATAACCAATATTCAATGTGGTTTCAGGAAAAATCGTAGTACCATTGATCATTTGGTACGCTTAGAATCCTTTGTTAAGAATGCTATAGTAAATAAACAACATGCTGTATCAATTTTCTTTGATCTTGAGAAAGCTTATGATACGACCTGGAAGCATGGCATTTTGAAGGATTTACATGACTTTGGTTTGAGAGGCCGTTTGCCTCTTTTTATATCACAGTTTTTGAAAGACAGACAATTTCAAGTCCGAGTGGGTTCAACCCTGTCAGACCATTACAATCAGGATCAGGGTGTCCCTCAAGGCAGTATTTTGTCTGTCACTTTATTTAGTATCAAGATCAACAGTTTATCCAAGGTTTTAAACGATTCAGTTGATGGATCACTTTTTGTGGATGATTTTAATATTTCTTGTCGTGGTAAAAATATGCATACTATTGAACGGCAATTGCAGTTGTGTTTAAACAAAATAAATAAATGGTGTCTAGAAAACGGCTTTAAATTTTCCAAGTCCAAAACTAATTGTCTACACTTTTGTAGAAAATATAAGCCGCATAAAGATCCAGACCTAACTTTAAATGGCACTCCCATCAAAGTTGTTAAGGAGGCCAAATTCTTGGGTCTCATTTTCGACTCCCATTTAACCTTTTTGCCGCACATTAAATCACTCAAAGCCAAATGCCTGAAGGCACTCGATTTGTTGAAAGTTGTTTCCAACTCAAAGTGGGGAGGTGATCAAGCTACCCTGCTCCACCTATATCGATCATTGATCCGCTCGAAACTTGATTATGGCTCCATCGTATATGGTGGAGCCTGCAAAAGCAACCTAAAACTACTTGATTCTGTCCACCACCAAGGCCTAAGACTTTGTCTTGGGTCCTTTAGAACCTCTCCTATTGATAGTCTATATGTTGAAGCAGATGAGCCTTCTCTTACACAACGTCGTATCAAATTATCCTTACAATACACTACTAAACTATATTCTAGCGAGTCTAACCCTGCATTTAGCTGTGTGTTTAATCCCAGCTATGAGGATTTGTTTGACAAAAAACCTTCTCTTGTTCCGCCTCTTGGGCTCAGAATTAAGCCATTTATTGCTGCTGCCGGCATTGAGCTGGAAAATATAGCTCCTTCTCGTCTTCTTTCTTCTCCTTCTTGGCAGTTAGTTAGACCAGAAGTTGATTTAACACTTACATCATTTAAAAAATCAGAAACAAATGAATTACAATATAAACAAGAATATAATCAATTAAAAAGTACATATAATACATATAAATTCTTATTTACAGATGGATCCAAAGATGGTGGCGCGGTTGCTTGTGCCACTGTCATTGGGTCCAAAACAATATCTTCCAGACTACCCAATGACAGTTCAATTTTCACAGCAGAAGCAAACGCAATACTAACAGCTCTTAAATATATTAACAAACACCGTAAATATAAACAATATATCATCTTTTCAGATTCTCTTTCGTGTCTTCAGGCAATTAAAAATCTTTCTTCCAAACATCCACTTTTATTAGAAATTATTGAATTGTACAATGAACTTGCTACTGGCCAATGCGACATCGTCTTTTGTTGGTTACCCAGCCACGTTGGCATTTCTGGGAACACAATGGCTGATATTGCTGCTAAGGCAGCACTCAACAAATCTGTGACACCACTTCTTATCCCATACTCTGATTACAAAGCTGCTATAAGATCTTATATCCGTGATCTGATGCAAAAGAAGTGGGACACCCAAGTAGGTATCAATAAATTACATGCAATAAAACCCTATATCGGTTACACTTACTTGGGTTGTCAGTCCAGATTTGAAGAGGTCATTATGCGACGATGTCGTATTGGCCACACTAGATATACGCATGAGTACCTATTAAAAGGTGAGGATCCACCATTTTGTATCCCTTGTGATGAACGAATCACGGTCAAGCATGTCTTGCTTGACTGTGTTGAGTACTCCATCACAAGGGATATCTATTTCAAATCCCGAACTATGAAGGATCTTTTTACAAATATAAGTCCTCATTTAATTATTGCTTTTTTAAAAGAATTAGATTTGTTAACAGATTTGTAAATAGCTAAATATTTTATGATTGGAAGTTTGAATTAGTAACATAGATTGTTAGTGGCTGTATCCTCGAGGGGGGTTAAAGTACTGTAAAATTATTGTCCTCCCGAGAGGGTACGTAAGTCCCAAAACATTCAAAGTAAATTTCAACTTTCCGTTTTTTTAATCGTAGAATATTTGTAATTTTACTGTATGGCTAGATATGTCTTAATTGCTAACGGCTGAGGGGATGATATAAATCCAGCTAGGGCCCATGCAGGAAGCAAATGTACTGTAAGTCCCCATGATCCCTAGTTTGGTGATCTACCTTCAGTTGTTAGCGATCTATAGCCCATTTCTAGATTGTGTTGTCCCCTATGGTTAAAATGTTTTAGATTCAATTACTAGTTTTATATATATATATATCTGTGATACTCTAGTTGCTTTACTGTCCTTCGATGACAGGTTTTATAATATATACATATTCCATTACAATGTAAAATGTTCTCGTCACGATATGGCTGAAATATTGCCGATGTGACGTTAAATATTAACTCACTCACTCACTCACTCGTAAATGTATGTATGTATGTATCGATGGATGGATGGAGGTTGTTAACCAGATCGATATCTGCTTCGGGTATTGTGTGAACCAAGAGGAAGTACTCCGTGTTGCTATGACAACGTGTGTCAAAAGAAAACAAGAGAATGTGTTTGTGATGGCTCTCATTCTCACTTAACATGCACATGTACTCTATTGCGTTAGCGCATGATTGTAAGTGCAACAATATTGAGCTTCTTCACAAAAGTTAGTCTAGAAAAAATGATATATTGGACATTCTGTGTTCATTTACCATTGCCATTTCCATAATACATAAAAAATATATTCTTATACGATATCTCTAACTTCCCATTGCAGTTAAAAGTTGCATGTCGCCAGTGACGGTGTATATATTTGTTGCATCAAAAATAACACTAACACGTCACAAATTAATTCTGGACTCACAAAGTCCAGAAACTCTCCGCACTGTGGACACTTTCTGACAAGCGATTCGACAAAATTAAACATGCAGTTGTTATGAATATATGCTAAGGATGTGTAAAATTAAAAAAATCTTTTTCGAAAACTCAAAATTTAAACTCCCTCGCCCATGGGCGCGAATGTTTACTTTCGCCCAGAATTCATGCTTTGGAGTTTGTAAATGAATGAGTGTATGTTTATAAACATCATGACACAAAATTCAACTAATTTTGACTTAATTCGGCTAAGTTAGAGCGATATTAAAAATCTCGTCCATGGGAGAGAATATTTAATTTTACTCAAAATACATGTTTTTCAATGTTTTGAATGCTGTTAATGAATGAGTGTATATTTATAAGCATCATGACACAAATTTAAACTCATTTTGACTTAATTCGGCTAATTTACAGTGATATTTAAAAATCTGGCGCACGGACAAAACACATTTTGGCGCATGGGCGAGAATATCTACTTTTACTCAAAATACATGTTTTTCCTTGTTTTGGAGGTTGTACATGAATGAGTGCATATTTATAAGTATCATGACACAAAATTCAACTTATTTTGACTTAATGCAGCTAATTTACGGCAATGTTAAAAAATCTCCATTATTTCCGATAACATGGATTAGCTAATAGCGCATTGCCCGGAGAGCCTCATTCACGCGATCACTCAACCGTGCCCATTGACGGTTGAGCCACACCATTTTCAACTCAGATTTTCTTAAAAGTGGCTTTCCGGGGCTATAACCATCAGCACAGCCCAATCCGACCATCTGTCATTAATTACCTGTCATGAGCTTTTAGTTGTATTGAAAGCTCTCGCCTATTGTTTCATTAATAAATTGTTTCACTAGCAGTCACTATCTAGTCACTATGTAGTCACTAGGCACTTAACATTAGAAGTAATGCCATGGAACAAGTTACCTAACTACAGTAGACTATAGTAGATGATTTGAGAATACAGCAGCACTGAAAAGGCGTCGTTTTTACCAACATGGGCATAACACTGCATAAATACAATAATTTATTGTATTTATAAGGTAGCAGGAAACTTCATCTCAGTTGACAGGCTGAGAGATCGAGTATTAGGTCACGCGCTAATCTAAAGTACGGGAATCTGATGTTTTCATAGCAATTCGCTTACGGGCCCTTCCAGCACAACTTTGGTTTTCGCTTTACAGGGAATAGGAAGATGAAGAAGAAGAAAATAATTTTATTTGTGTGTTACATGTTAGATATAAAACATACATAGACTTTAAAACATTCAATAAAATTATAACATCCGGTAATATGACACAAGGCACTATTTTAGATATAACACTATATAACAGATAGTAGTAAATCAAATATCACAGCTTCGTAAACTACAATGGAGTGTGGTATGTTTATTTAATTACATGACTACAAACTGCGTTTGCGTATGGTTACGGAAAAGAAAGAGAGTGTTATTATTTGTGGGTCACATATTATATATGACACAAACATAGATACCTTAAGACACTTAATTAGGAGATAAACCTACTGTGTGGGAAAATCAGAGGTATATAACGAAATTATAATAGCTCTAAATTTCATTAAGAACCGAACGCGTAGCGTGAGGTTTTAAATGAACAATTTAGAGCTATTATAATTATGATTGGTGATTGATGCATTGAAAAAACAAAACGTGATTTGTTATTACTGAATCTGGAGTTTGTTAGTCATTGACGCTTTGCCACCAATCACCCAGTTTCGGGCGATGCCACTTGAGATTGGAATGCGAGGCCGCTTCACGTATTGACTCGTAACCAAAAAAAGAGCTCCACCTGAAATTGTTCATAAAATTGTCATGGTAGAATGGAGATAAACCTACTGTGTTGGAAAATCAGAGGTATATAACGAAATTATAATAGCTCTAAATTTCATTAAGAACCGAACGCGTAGCGTGAGGTTTTAAATGAACAATTTAGAGCTATTATAATTATAATAGCTCTAAATTTCATTAAGAACCGAACGCGTAGCGTGAGGTTTTAAATGAACAATTTAGAGCTATTATAATTTCGTTATATACCTCTGATTTTCCAACACAGTAGGTTTATCTCCATTCTACCATGACAATTTTATGAACAATTTCAGGTGGAGCTCTTTTTTTGGTTACGAGTCAATACGTGAAGCGGCCTCGCATTCCAATCTCAAGTGGCATCGCCCGAAACGGGGTGATTGGTGGCAAAGCGTCAATGACTAACAAACTCCAGATTCAGTAATAACAAATCACGTTTTGTTTTTTCAATGCATCAATCACCAATCATTAACTGATAAGTTGGAAAACATATATCAAATAAGTATAAAAAGCTTGGTTCACATTTGAAAATTCCACAGTAGACCCTTACCCCACCAGAATAATGGCAGCAACCTCATGGCCTTGACCTTTTCTCGGAAGTCATTGTTTACATTTACGTGCAAATTTGGAAAGATGCGACAGGAGAGCCTCTGACAGTTTGCGCAAGGTTAACCTGATTGTATGACTGAGATAGTCGTTGATATCTAATTACTGGTACTGGTACAAAATTTAAGAGTGGAGGCGCTTTTGCTGTAACGAGAAGTCCGTGTTGTACCGAATTTAGATACTGTTGAATTTTGCGCCCTGTCAACTTGACGATTTCACGCACCTCTACGTCTGCGTGCGACAGCTGTGATGACTCTTACACACTCATGTGTGTACTTTGTGCTCAAATTCGATTCTACGGATATTATTTTCTACATTTTGGAAAGTGTTTTGTGTCCTAGTGGCTTCAAAGTGTAGTGAATTCAAATTGAATCGGATTCGCTGGCATGTTCGCGAGTCTGTTGACAAAGAGACAGATTTGTGGTGATATTTCCGAAAGGATGGATCAGGACATGAGGGTGTACCTCTGGCATAAACACGGTAAGGTAATTAATTATACTTTAATAGACTACTTTAGATCAAGCAGTGTAATGGATAAGAGGGATCATGACTAAACTAAATAACTTTTTCAACGATATTATACTTTTAGAAAAAAATATGTTGGGCTAAACAGAACGGTTTGCAGATACTGTAATTGTGTTTTACTACCGCTAAATTTTAAACAGTACAAATTTCATTTTGTTTGAATTGATAACCCAACTGTTTATTTATGTCGACGGAAGGCATTAAAAATATTTCGGCGTTCGATGTTAATGCATCCTCCGTTTAACCGGATCAAGATCAGTGGCGATATCGTTGACAAAAGCTGATAATAAATTTAACACGGAAATTATGTAGCAGTCTATTGCTGGATCTATTCTGACATAACATAGAATCAACGTAAACATATTTGGTTTTGCTGAATTTTTATTCGGAAAGCAGACGATGTTTTGATCTTGTTCGACTGAATATTTGTTTCCATGCTTTCGAAGTACTTTTGTATGTATAAACACCTATTGCTGTGATTTACGCAAGTAGTGAGTCGAGCCCGTCATCGCTAAATCCATCTTTAAAGACATATGTGTAATTTCCGACAGTAAAATCGCCGTAATTTATCGATGCATCGGTAGGTTGTTTGGTGTCCGCCATGTTAGTGGGCAGACAAAAATAGTGCATTACCGTAAACCATGTATGATTGCGCTCGGAAAACAGAGACCTGTATAATGTGATTATATACCACTGAATGACTTTAATTAACCAATGACAATCCAGTGTTTACTGATGTCATGGTAGAATATAAAATATAACATCTGGCCATATGGCCTATGAGACACAAGCCACTACATTCTACCTAAAACAGATAGTAGGGAATAGAATATCACAATGCTATAAGCAACAGTGAAGTGTGGTATATTTGATTACATGACTACAAAGTGCGTTTACGTTTATTAAACATTTAGTAACTAATGCAGCAAGGGTTTTATTAATTTAACATTACCTAGCATATATGCGACCTGGTAAGAAGGTGACAAGAGAGAAAAAAAGGGTTAATATTTAATACATCTTCCCACAAGTCATATCGTAAATCCGAACAGCTGACCAAAATAGGGAATATTGAAATTTCGCTTTCCTGGGCCGACACCCTCCAATCGCCTGTTCGCTGCTTTAAACACTTGCAAATTTATTCCAAGTATGCTTTTGCTCCCATAAGTTAGATATCCCATTTGTCAGACACGCCAATTATCAGACAACTTTGGATCAATCAGGCGTGACTGTGATTACAACCTAGTCTTACCCACTGACATAATAGACCTATCCCATAGACGAGCGAGATATTTTCACATTAGTGGTTAGTGGTATATTTTAACACTAATTATAAGTTTGTTACTTTTTGTGCAGAAATACTTTGATCAGAATACCAATCATTATGTTAATAAGTGTTTGTTTGTCGGCACCCCAGTTAGTGCCACTGATAGCTCTCATGAGGTTTAGATCTTTTTGACAGGAGTTGACCAAGTTATTAATATGGGGTGTCCATGTCATGTGTTTGTCAAAAGTTACACCTAGGAATTTAGCTTCTTTTTCAAACTTTATTTCTTGGTTGTTAAGGTGTAGTTTGGGTGTATAATTTTGCATTCTTTGGTCTTGAATAGGATGCCCATGGTTTTTTAACATTAATATGGAAACTCAATTTTTGGGCCCAGTTTTGGATATAACTTAGCATTCTTTGGGATTTGATTGTGGCTTGGTTTACTGAAATTGAGCATGTTCAAAATGAAATATCGTCGGCAAATTTAGCAGTAGAAATCTCTGGCCACTTGTCCGGAAATATGTCATTTATCATAAAGTTGAATAATGTTTGGGATAATATGCTCCCCTGGGGGGTTCCATTTTCTAGTGGATAAGGGTCCGAGACGGTGTTGTGAGATTTGACGATTATTTGTCTGTTATTAAGAAAGCATGAATGAAATTTAGAATACGTCCGTTTATGAACTTTTTCTGGAAATTTTGGATGAGGCAATTGTGCCAAACCATATCGAAAGCTTTGCTAAAGTCAATGAAAATGGCCAGCGTGTACTGTTTTTTTGCCTGCGCTACCTTTGTATCTTGCTCCAAACGTAAAATGTGGTCTAAAGTTTGTCGATTTGGAGTGAAGCCGCCCTGGTCCTGCTTTGTTTAGGTTATGTTTTAGAATTTGGTGTTTAAGCCTATTGTTTACTATAGACTCTAGAGTTTTACATAAGTGGGATGTGAGGGAGATTGGCCGAGATGAATCTGGGGAGATTATGGGTTTCCCTGGCTTTAGGATTGGCACCACCTTGGCTGTTTTAGTAGAGGGTATATTACCTGTGGTCCAGATTTGATTGAATAATGTGATTGTGAGGTTGAGCATGTTTGGTGGGAGTTTGTTGAGTATAGCGTATGTGATGTTATCTGAACCAGGGGCTGTTTGACTGCTGCTTTAAGTTCATGAATGTTTATAATTTTCCATGTATGCTTTTGTGAAACTGTTTAAGAGGGAGCAGTCAAGGACAGAAGTGAGACTTGCTCAAAAAAACAAGGTCATCAACGTGAGCCAAAGAGGAAGAGGAAGTATATTGTTGTGGACAACCGATTGAGTCGTGCAAAAGATAGATTGGTTGCCGGCGAAATCGAAGTGATGCACTACATAGACTCTGTTGCTCATCTTCTTGGTGATTGGGAGTGAATGTGACGGAATGTGACATGAGTATGACATGTGTTAATGACTGAAACTGCGTGTTGTATAACTCATCTATTATTGTGATTGAGTGGGACATGTGTTAATGATATGTTAATAATGTGTATAAAGTATTAAATATATATAAAAAGGTCACTTGCATTTGGTCATTGTTTGAACACCCCTCTGATCACTACATGTGGACTCTCCCATTCCCACTTCGCCTACTCCTTAGTAATCATCCAGGCGTTACATACTCACATTGCCTAAAAGATTTTCCGTATCTAATGGATTAAAATTAATTCAATATTGCCCTTGTAGATTTCCATTATGTTTGCACACATTATGTTTTGCACACAATGTACGTCACTATCTATGTAATTGTATTATTGTTATGGAGCGGCATTGATATGCATATTTATGCTTCTTTGCCAATCCCGTCATGATTACTTCAAGAAAATATGTTTAAACTATACATTAAAATATCCATAGTATTAATATGTAATCATTATATTAGGTTATGAGGAATACACAATATATTCAAGATTGATTTTTATTTTACTTTTTTATCTTTATAAAAATTATCCTTATTTTTGCTACAGTCGAAAAGATTTACCTTGACTTCGTTGTGTACAGTTCTGTGGATGTGGGTATTTTTAGAAACTATTACAACACCGTTGTCACAACATCAAACATGGGAGGATTTTTACCACGACCCAAAGGTCTAACTTACGGGACTGCCCCGTACCCCGTACTTTTATGGAAGATTCCCTTTATATATCACCGCGGCGATTATCTCCCAAAACTTAGACCTTCATATCTTAGACAGCCATAACTTAGACACTAATGAAGGAGATTAATTAAGACAACACCCATGGCTGAAATGGAACAGTCCTAATTAGTGTTCCCTGCTGAGTAGACCTAGCTTGTTAATAAATAAAACAATTGAACTGTAAAGTATGTGTAAATGTATGAAGGTCATTTAGAAGTGGAATGCATGAGAAAAGCAAGATTTATGGATGTGAACTTCATTATTGTGAATAACACGACGTTTCGGAGTGTATGCTTACTCCTTCATCACCTGGACTCTCATCTGATGATTTTGTGTACGAATCATTTATTCTCAAGCACAATTTTCAAAATGTAATGACTATAACTGCTATGAAATTCTACATTGTGAACATTATATGTACAACAGGAATCAGTTGTTTTCCAAACTTTTAGATCTTTTCCATGTCAATGTATCTGTACAAAGAGAATTACTGCCAGAAGATGAAATGCTGTCTCTCTTTTCTGGAGGTGAAATACCGGTTACTGAACACATAGATGAAATGTCATGGAGATGTATGAATGTTCTATTTTGTAAATATCTGTATTCCATGGTATCCCCACTCTAGACTGTATTATAGATCCTTCCTTGCCTTTGCTCTGTGCATGTGTGTACCCGCCTTGTGGATATGTTCTTGTGAATATATGATGCATGCATGATGTATGTGATCTTCGGATTAAAATAAGTAGTTAAAATGTTTTATAGTCAATATATGGCCGAATGCTGTTTGTCTGAGTAGGGTAAGTGTATATTATATTTTTAGAATTATATATTTATTTATTTGTTCAATTATTTATTTCACTTAGTAACTAAATTTACTGAGCAGCTTACCAAACAACCAACCAACCAACCAACTAACGGGTTAGAATACCCGTTACCTTGACAACTGTTGCTATGGAGCTGTACTCATCAAATCTTCAAAAATATAACTGAAGTGAAAGTTATATGTATTCTTTTAATACAAAGTAAAATCAGTCTGACAGCAGTTCTGTTGAATTTATGATAAATATGCTGAATGAACATAACGTCTTGTCTAATTGATTCTACTGGACTGATCCATTATAAGAAATAAGTATCAGCTTGAGGATTAGTTGTGCACTGAACCAGAACTGTTGTTGTTTTAAGCTGTCTAAGATATGGGTGTCTAAGTTTTGGGGTGTCCTCCCCATAAGAACTACAGCTTAAAACAACACATGTTATGGTCCAGTACACAGATTAACTACATGCTGTCACCTGCGTCTTCTTAGTGGATTTGCCCAACACAAAACTAATTAAACATACTGTATATAACATTTTTGCTGCGGCAGTTCATGTTGGTTTTGATAGTAAATAGTTTGCCTTCACAAATTGTAAATTTGCAGTCTTCAGTTATGATGGAACAAGTTCCGCATCGAGGTGTTCGTCATTTTGTTACACTGACTGACAAACTATTTTTCATAGTATCACTTTTATACAAACTTGAAAGATTTGCTTTTATAATGGGCATAATTGTACAGTTATTAGGATTGTAGGTACAAACAAATGGAAGAATGTCCATATCTGTAATTGTTTCTTTTGTTTTCATAGGTGTCTCTCTTGGGACTTTTACTGCCTTATGAACATCATTTTCAACTACCGAAGAGGATATGTCTTATATATTTATTACATATTACCTATTGTCACTAACTGCAACGTCATATGCATGATGACGACATAGCTACTACCGTTATGCGTCGGCTATGGCGACACTTACTTTTCATTGTACACATGAAGAACCGTTGACCGGAGAAAGATCTTGTGCAAATAAAGTCTGGAGTTTTATATATCGATGTATAGATAGTTCATCAATAGATAGGCTTATATATTTAGTGTGATAATTTAGTGTCACTTTCATCCTCAGTGTTCAATCTGATCCATATAAAACTAGTTTAGCCCAGCTTCAATAAGTAACTGCATCAAGGTCCTGGGTTGCAGTCCACAACAATGCTATTTTAACTTAAAAACTCATTTGGATATATTTCGCCTTTACTCCAATATACTAAAGCTTATATATACTAAGCTACCACCGCGGCTAAGCGTATTATTTGTTACTGGCATAAACTCAATAATTCTGCAGCAGAAATGATCAAAACTGATTTACAATTATGCATATATACAAAGTATCTTTGAGAATGATTTTGATCCTCGGACGCATCACATTAAATCTTTATTAGATAAATATGGCTTATCTTTTGTATTCTATAACCCTGTAAGCGTACCATGCCAATGGCTAGTTTCACAAGTTGAGATTGTATTAAAAGACCAGTTCCACCAAAGTTGGATAGCTGATACTGAAAATAGCTCTAAGGGCTTTTACTCTAAACATATTAAAGATACCCCGATACTTGAAAACTACCTTCTCTTCCCGGCTTATATTTACTCTCCTATTTTGAAATACAGAACATGTAATCACAATCACCTTGTAGAAACTGGTCGTTGGCATGGTATTGCTAGAGAAAACAGAACATGTAAACTTTGCAATTCACCAGCAATAGGAGATGAATTTCATTACTTATTTATATGTGTAGCCCTTACAGATATTAGACTGAAATATTTACCAACTAGATATATGTACTTCCCCAATTTGTCAACAATGAAGAAAATATTTAGAATTTCAAAAGAAATACGAAATCTATCCAAATATCTGCTAGTATTAGATAAACTTATAGGGAAAAATGGTCAAATCTGTACTATATCAATTTGCTTATTCTCTAGACAACAAATCATTTAATAGCTCTTAATTTACGGCATTATTATGTTCCGTTTTAAACTGTTCTACCCGTCAATGTGTCATGTTTGTTTATATGTATTTAAATGAATTCTGTTTGACTTTCTCTTGTACCACCAAACGTGCTCATTTGAGAATAAACTGAACTGAACTGAACTGAACTGACATCACTTGCTTAATAACGGTTTTAGCAGCTACGCCGAAACGTCGCTTACATTATAATAAAGAAGTTGTATGGTTGGTTTGGATGGTATACCAGCTGAGGTTTTACAAAACCAATATTGCATTAACCTGTTGTATGAAATATTTAGTTACTAGAATCAGCATTCAAACTGTTAAAAACCAGAAGTCACACATACAGTCATTAAACAACATTGAAATAGCAGTTGCTCTGTCGAGTGAATCCTGACAGCGCTGGTGTTTTGACAAACATTAGCAATAGTACATAAATGAATATGATAAAATATAAGTCTATGATATCAAGTCTATGGCATAGTGTTCTCTGTGTCAATGATATACAGTATTTATTGATGAGGATAGATGGTTACTGTACATTCACAATGACACAACGCTGTGTGGTTTGCAATTAGACCGTCCGGACAAACCAGCACGCCATTAGCTGCGACGGTTGTCAACTATGGATACACCGTCTTTGCGGCACAGGGATTTCAGCATTCACATACAAGGAAATGTGCAGAAGCAAAGAAGATATTCCCTTCACATGTGAACCATGTTCACGTTCACCAGAGCAACAACCCATGGCACAGGATAATTAGTCAATCAGTGGGAATCAGACATTCGGCAAATTCAACATAAGTCTTGAATCAGAGGCAAGGGTACCAGACATCACTGATGTAAACATCTTCATGACCGCCACTTCTGAAGATGAACTGAATGAGCTAGAGAAGTAGGCCATAAAATATACCTGAATATTGATTTTTGTAATGTATTTTCTTCAACAGTAACATTGTTAGATATGTATAGGCCTTAACAGTTTTTAATACTGACTCACATGTAAGAATGAACTACAATCTTGTACAAACACTGAACATCTTTGTGAACGCTACTGTATGATAATTATTGCCTGCAGGTCGCTTCATGATGATACCTTGTTGGAACCCTCCACATCTGACATCACCGAGGTCACCTAAACACTGGTTGACACTGGCTCGCAAAACAGAAAGAAGAAACTGGTGGACTCTCATGGATTTACTTATGTCATAAAGGTATTAGTCATGCTTTATAGCTTTATGTCTGAATATAAACGCTACTCAATAGCTCAGTCCTTGACCATTGGTTAATTGTTAACACTGATTCCATTCAAACAACAACTTTCATAAAACCTATGGAGCTAAAGTCTACTGGCGCTGTAGTGTCCGGAATTCCACTACCACCTGTTCAGCCTCTGTCATACAGACTGGTGAGAAGTTTGAAGATGGCATCCATCGGCACTGTCATCCTCCGACACCTGGTCAACTTACAGCCATTAGGGTCAGAGTGGACGTGATTATGATCTGTTAGTTTAGCTATAGTTTGGCATGAAATGCATGTGGACCCGGTGTTTTGTAAATATCTCTTCATCCAATGACCTAATCGATCTCAAACTGTGCAAGTGGATGTTTTGTCAGACAACCTAATCACATTGTAAATCACCGATTTCATGCATTTGTATTAAAGAATCTGTCTATGTAACTGTCAACAAAATAAACAGCAGAACGCAGACTGCTTGCAGAGGGAGGGAGCCAATGACCTGTAACAGCGGCAGTGTTGGGTCATAAAGGTAAATGCACGTGCAGTTCATGATAGTTACCTGTGCACTGCACAGTGATAGACCGTTTGGATCATTCACATTGACTACTTCTAGCTGTCATCATGAAAGCTTATTCAGATGATGCTAAACGTTTAATTAGAAATGTGTTGAATTTTTTTTAAAAGAGAGCAAACGTAGCAAACCGATTGATAAGGTGTCGGATTACATGAAACGTACAACTTTTGCTCTTGGCATGAAAAAGAACATCGTGCTAAAAATTGTGAAAAATAAACCAACAACCAATAAACAAAACCTTGTACAAAAAGGTAGGCATCAAAAGTTAGATACTTTTGACATCAGGGTCATTCGCCGGCTATTTGCTAGAAATGAACACCTGTCCACAAGAAAGTTACAACACATCCTTGCAGAGGATCACGACATTAATGTTTCTAGGTTTATGCTAAGCAAACTACTGCTCAAATTTGGATACAAGTACAAGAAGGTAGCAAACCAGAAACTTGTAATGTGTGAGAGATCTGATATTGTAAAAAATAAGTTGTAACTACATGTATCTGAGAGAAATTAAGCAGGCAAGAGAGGATGGGTTCGAACCCATATATCTGGATGAGACCTGGGTCAATGCAAACCATACCTCTGCCAGACAGTGGCTACCTACTGATCCCAGTGATGGTAGGAAAATACCAACAGGCAAAGGTGAACGTTTAATCGTTCTTCATGCTGGTTCCCACTGTGGATTCCTACCTTGGTGTGATCTGGTATTTCGGTCAAAGAGCACAGATGGTAGGGACTATCATACAGAAATGAACTCAACGGTTTTGACACAGTATGTTGAGGAACAATTGTTTCCAGCTCTGCCTTACAAAAGTCTTGTTGTCATGGACAATGCTCCCTATCACAGCGTTCGAGATCCAAACAATAGGTGCCCAACTTCCAATACAAAGAAGTCAGAAATGCAGCAATGGCTAACAAATAACAATATACAATTTTCAATTAAGCCCACTAAACAACAGTTGTACTCTTTGATTAAACCTAACAAACCTCCACCCACATATAGCATTGACAACATGCTACGCAAACACGGCCATAAGGTCTTGAGATTACCACCGTACCACTGTGATCTCAACCCAATCGAACTTATCTGGGGAGATCTGAAAAGTACAGTGGCCCGGAAAAATCAATCATTCAAGTTGAATGATGTCAAGCACATTGTCAACACTGCTATATTATGTGACATTGACATTGCACGCTGGCATGCATGTGTTGAACATGTCAAGTAGGTGGAGAAAGAGTACTGGCTCAAAGAGGGCTTGAAGGAGCAAACAGTTAATCCAGTTGTCATTCGTCTGGACACTGATGACTCCTCTGTGGAAGAATGGAGTGAACTTGATGAAGTTTAATTCTGTTATTATATTTACTGATAATAATAGTATCCAGCCAGATATGCTCAAAGAAATATAACTTCTTTTCACAATGACAGCACTGACTAATTCCAACGACTTACAGTGTATCATGAAACACTCATTTCACATAAAACTATCATGACAATATAAATATTAACTATCTATATGCTTAAAACTATTAGAAATGCATTGCTTATTTTGGAATGTGAACGACTTCAAAACATAACACTTTTGTCTTCATTCTATCTTTTCTTCAATGAGTGTGCATGATTGTGTGTGCTTGTGTCCGAGGGAACGGAGCTTTAACAGTTGTTGAGTTCTAACCATAGGTGGTCCGATTAATGATTTAGTGTAAATATACTTTCTGTGTTCTTTAAATGCATTTCCACTTAGGTACTGCATAAACAAAATATGACATTAACATTACAAATTTAAAGATTTTAACCTACAGAATAATTCTCACTAATGGGTTTTGTGGTTAATGTTGAACAACTCAGAGAAACAAACTCCGTATGATG